CAATGTCAGACTTTTCTTCAACTTTCTCTCTCTCAGAAGCAGACCTAAAACCAGACAGTTTTTATGACAGATATATTTAAACAAATCCAGAGTTAAGTAGTAACACATACTTTTCATCTCCCAGTTTGGCTGAAAAACTGATATTGGCTCTAAGAGGTGATTCTACCTTCTTTTCATCCCTATTCCAGATAGTCTTCTCATTGTAGTAAAGATGCTAAGCCACATTTTGACACAAACATAATAATGCATTAACATATAAGCAGCTTTTGTAGAAAATCAGCATCTCCTCCCTTTGTGACCTGCACTACCTGCATTATTACCCTGGTGTATTTTAACAGCCACGTTTCTGCTGCAGTGCCAGTTGTGCCAACCTGACATGGAACATAGCTTGGAAGCTCATCCCAGGTCACTGTCCTCAGCAACAGGCTGCACATTAGTACACTGTTCCTGTGCAGCATGTGACATTTTTCGGGCAGAATAGAAAGTGCTGAGTTAGAACCCACTTTCTATCTACCTAGAGCTGCTGAAACCAAGAGACTCTGCAATTGCCTTTCTTCAGAGCACACGTCTACACCAAAGCAGCTCTGAAAGCACCACAAAGGCTCTTCAATGCACTTCTCTGGAGAACAAGAAAGTGTTCATCAAATCCAAGCCAAATGCCTGTTGAATTAGGATTTCAGCTCCTGCCCTAATGCTTTTCTATTCTTGCTTATTCCTGATTTAGTAGTCTAAAGGCCATAAATATCCCATCCATACAAATGCCCTCCTCCAACCTGAACAACAATTCTCCTAAAGACATGGTCTTCCCTCCCCATCCCACACCCAATGAAAACCCCACCCATACCACACTGGAAGACAAAGGCTTGACATGATACAGTTTGTATTTTGGAAAAAGGCTAGATACACTAGAGAAACAATGTTTCTAGTGGTAGTTGTATCAAACCACAGCAGTTGTTAGAACTTCATTCCATTGTACTTATTCCAGATTACAAATACTGATAATGTCTGTTCCTTCTCAGTAGGGAGACAGCCTTGGTTTTGGTTACTACAAAGGATAAGCATGGAAACACAGCCAGGTCATATCATATCATATAATTCCCTTTCTAGCACTTACAATTTTTCTTGTAACTGTGCTACTTTTCCTTTTGAATGCTCTAGATTCCTTTGCACTTCCTGCAGCTTCATTTCCATGTTTTCCTGCTTTGCCAGTGCAGTCTTAAAAAAAAACAAAACAAACAACAAAATACACATATTAATATTAAAATGAGATGTAGTGAAAAAAAAGGCATTGCAGAAGAGACAGTGGTGAAATGAAATTTAATCATCACCCCTGTTTAATGATAGCACCAGCTACTATGCTAAATGTGATTGCAAGTATCCCTCAGTAAAGATATCAGCCACTTGTTAAAAAACAACAGCCACCAAGAGCTTCAAGCTATACTGAGGATCACTGGTTTTAATTCCTGAGCAGATCAGAATTATTCTGTACAAATGGTCATACCTTTTCCTTAGCATCCCTCATGTTTCTGAGCTTCATCAACTCCATGCACAAGCTACTCATTTTCTTCTGCACGCCATCTTCAGACAGCTTGTTAGAAAAGAAGATAAAACCACTAAGTATAATTCCTTTGTATGAATTGCTGTCCACACAACCCTTTCCAAGTGTTCCTCTCCTGCTCTATGTTTAGACAGAAGGGCACAAGATGCCAAACCAGACATGCTTTACATCAAAACATCTGCTGATCAGCAAGTAAAGCTTCCTCTTGCACAGGAAGCTCAGTAACAGCAAAGGCAAAGCAAAGATGCACTTATTTGTCTGAATACCTTTGATTTTAGTAGCTCATTGCTTCTTGTTAACTCCAGAAGCTGTTTCTTCAGGCATGCAACATTTGCTGAAAGAGAGGTTTTCTCCTGAACTGCAGCACTCAGCTTTGCTTCAATCTTAACAAGATCTTCATCCAGAGCACGAAGTTTTTTATCCTGCTCTCCACGTTCTCTCACTAATGCACGAATCTAAAACACGAGGTATTTTCTTAATTTCCTATTATCATTAGCTTAGCCAAGTAAACCACAGGCATAGGTACCCAAACTGTATTTACTTTCATTCAGAATATGTATCTGCAACTCTCATTCACAGGAAGGAAATAACAGAATTACCACAAGTCCCCATTATTACACACCATACAACAGCAATATTTCATCTGACTTATTTTATGCTTCCAAGCCAGTAGAAAATGTTAAAATTAGAATAGTCTTAGCTTTAATGGGCAACAGAAGCCAACTCTCCTTTTTGGCTTTGAGAGACAAAAAGGCAGAACGTGACATTTGAGACACAAGGCACCAGTTAGCACACTGAAGTGTATTGATGCAGTTTAGGGTGCCTCATAAGCATTAACAGTATGACAATTAGTGAGAAAAAAATTTCAGCTAGAGATTGTTTAATAAAACAGAACGTTTTTGGGGTAGCCAACAGAGGACTTTGTTCTGTTTTTGAAAAGTCTGACAGAATAGTTGCTCACAATCAGCAGGAATTCATGCAACTCCATGAGCTTTGTACATCCATAATACCTGATAATCTTTCTTTTGCACAGAACTGTTTGTAAACTACTTGTATGCTATCTGATACAAAAGAGGCCAATTCCACCAGCTGGTATTTTTTATTATTGTAAGTGGAGGAGACATGACAGGATTTCACTCACACAATGGACTCATACCTCCTTCTCCAGTGCCTTCTGTTTCTTTTTCTCTTTCATAAGCATAACATCTTTTTTAGTCTTCACAATCCCACTAGCCGGCTTTGGAAGAGAGATGTGTTAGAAATCTCTAGCTTCATAGTAGCTGAACACAACTAAATAAAAGAGTGGGTGCTACATACAGACAATACTACCAAGATACACACCAAATAAAGAGCAAACCTTTGTCTCTCCCACACAGGGCAGAAAAGTATCAGGTTAGGATGGGGTTTACCCTTGTACTTTCTCATCAGCAATACTCTGAAGGGACAGCTCATTACCACAGGGACAGGACGATGAACAAACTTGGAGACTTCAGCACCCCTAGGCTTCATAAAAACATTTTAATATCCTCACCTAAGGTTTGTTTGCAGAACTTCATCCTACATCATCAATACTCAGGAACCTAATTAGCACATCAGGGCTATCATTTTTCAGCTTGTTAAGCCATTAATCTTGAAATCCATATCCTTACATAGGACATTGGGAACCTGCACATGCAGTACCATCCCCTTCCTCTTTCTTTCACCACCAGGTTTCCACTCTGCCTTGCCCAGCCCATGAGAGCAGGAACACCATTTCCTTAAAAAGGAAGCCTTAAAACCATAATTACATGGTGAGCAAGAGGAAAAGAGATCCCAAAAGTAGCACAAAAAGAACAAGCTGCTCTGTAGTACCAAGTTAATTATCACATGATTCCCAAGGATGCAGCAATTTCATTTTTCCTGCTTAGGTCTTAAGGAACACAGATGCAACAACATGTTCCACAGTTCACTTGGGTAGATTAACGACAATTGTATGAAGAGGCTGCATTGTTTAAGCAGTTAAAGAGATTTAGCTGGGATTTAACAGAGCTACAGACACCACAGCAGAGTCCTACCGTTGATCCAAGAGATGGGAGTCTCCTTGCAGTTACTGGGGTGGGTGCACTCTTCTCACTGCTCAGATTTGTCTCACCTGCAGACAGAAGTAGAAGGGATTGGTGAAGGAAGAGGGTGTGCATGCACACAGTGAGGCAAATGTAACCAAACTACACAAGGTTAATTGACCATGTACAAAAGACACGAGGTTGTTAGACTATCAACTTCAGACCCAATACCAGTAACTTTTTTACTGCAAGCAGCCAGTTCAGTATTGGTCATCTGGGTACTGGACAAAGTTTAGAGAGACACTACCAGGTGACAGTTTTAATATTTCCATTTCTGCCAAGTTTCCCTGCCATGATACAGAGCCATAATGTCAGTTTTGAACTGAGGGATGCTTTAGATATTAAATATGCATGAAAATATCTCTAAACCCTAGGTGAATTAGGGTATTAGACCTCCAGAGGCCCCCTCCTAATTAGCAGAAGTCCCATTTAAAGCTATTTTTTGGTAGATTCCAATAGATGTTTTTACAGCTGCTCCTTTGAACTGGAAGGTAGGCATTGAGTCTCTGCAACAGAAATCAATTTCTGAGCAGCAGAGCAGTAACAGCGCTAACAATTGCAGCATGTAAAGATATCTTATTGCTGTGTTCTGTGCAGCTTTTACTTACTCTTCTGTTTCCTAACCCCTTGGCATTCTTCAGAGGACAGCAAACTTCCCACTCGGCCTGACGGCTTAACGTTACAGGATCCTTGCAGGGGAGTACGTGCTAAAAATGAGATTTTCAGAACAGCAGAGAACAATGAAGGCAAATGATAGGGTTGTCAGCTTCGATGAGACTGATAGCGTAAATCTACAGCCAAAAATCTCACTGAGAGGCTCGTACTTCAGAAAACGCTCTCGCCAGCAGCGCCTCAGCCGCGAGAAGCTCTGCACGCTCCTCTTGCAGCGCTGCACTACGGACCCAGAGGCCAGCAAGGCTCGGCACCGCTTTAGTTGCTACGAACACAATACACGTTGCCCGCTGTATTTGGCACGCCAGGGCTAGACACAAAGTCGGGACCTTCTGCCTCAGAAGGGGACCCCTGCGAGAACTCAGAGAGCCCTCAGGCACTGCGCTACGGGCCGCTCCTCACAGGAAGGGACACCCTGAGGCAGGTCCCGGCGCTCTGTCCCCGCCGAAGGGCTCCCCCGCTCCCTCCCCTCACGTACCAGCGCTCCCATCGCGGTGGAGGTGACGGCGGAGCGGCGCGCGCGCGGAAGCCATGACGGTGCTGGGACCCCGCGGCCCACCGTTCAAAGGGGCCAACGGCCGCAGCGCACGCGATCAGCCAATCGGCTGCCGCCGCTCCGCAAACCTCGGCCAATCGGAACGCCTGGCTCTGGGCACGCGCGCCGCGGGCCCGGAGGGGGCGTGGCCTGCGGTGCGCGTGCGCGGGGTCGAGCGCTGCCGCCGTGTCCCATGTCGGCTCCGTTCGAGGAGCGCAGCGGCGTGGTGCCCTGCGCGACGCCCTGGGGCCGCTGGTACCAGACGCTGGAGGAGGTGTTCATCGAGGTGCGCGTCCCGCCGGGCACCCGCGCCAAGGACGTGCGCTGCAGCCTGCGGAGCCGGCACATCTCCCTGGCCGTGGGCGGGCAGGAGCTGCTGCAGGTACCGCGGGCGGCCCGGGGCAGCGGGCCGGGGGCCCGTCCGACGCGTAGGCCGCGGGGCGCCGGGGGCTCACGGGCTCCGTTCGGTTCTAAAATAGCGCTGAGATCACCGAGTCCAGCCTGGGACCCACGCTCCCGGGACACCTCCCGGGACTGTGACTGCGCCACCGCCCTGGGCAGCCCGATCCGAGGTCTGGTCACTTTCTGTGAAATTTCTTCCTGGTGTCACCAGACCTGCCCTGGCACAGCTTAGACTGTGTCCTCCTGTGCTGTCATTAGTTGCCTGGGAGAAGGTTTGTACACCTGTGTCCTGAGGTGCCAGAGGCACCTTTATCCCAGGTTTGATACGTTAAAAATGGCATTAATTGGAAGCAGTTTTGTTCGAGGTTTACAGATGGTGCCTCCAGTACATGGAAAGAGAGCTGGAGAGCGGCTTCTTACAAGGCCATGTAGCGATGGGACAAGGGGGAAGGGCTTTAAACTGTCCGAAGACAGTGTTATATTGGATATTAGGAACAAATTCTTCCCTGTGAGGGTGGTGGGGCCCTGGTACAGGGTGCCCAGAAGAGCTGGGGGTGCCCCATCCCTGGAAGTGTTCAAGGCCAGGTTGGATGGGGCTTGGAGCAACCTGGGGTAGTGGAAAGTGTCCCTGCCCATGGCAAGGAGCTGGAATTAGATGAACTTTAAGGTCCCTTTCAATCCAATCCGTTCTGTGATTCTATGAAAAATAAAAATACAAATTCACATGGATTTTTATGTGAATGTGGACAGCATTTCAGTGCACAGCTTCAATTGCTCCAGAAAGCAAAAAAAAAACAAAAACAAACAAAAACAAAAACAAAAACAAAAACAAAAAAAACACCCCAGAACAAAAACCAACAACAAAAAAACAGCCTAAAGACAGATTTACTTTCACATTTATAATGAAATGCTCGTACTACCTGTATCCTGTGCCAGAGTTAGATGTTACTCCTGGCAAAAACATTTGCATTTTCATGGCAAGATTATTAAATAGCATTTCCTGCTGAGAAACACAAGCCTTTTCAATGACTTCAGATACTGAAACAAGATATTACATGCTTCAATTAAAAAAAAAATTGCATAATAAGAAATAATTCTTTGACAAGCTACATGGAGGTGTACACTTGTAGGGTCAGATCACCCTGTTCATTTTCAGCAGAATACAAAGGTGGTTAAGTTGTGAGTAAAACTTCATAACTCAATGTAAACTGGATGCTGAAAAAGTTTTACTGATTTGTAATATTGTACTTGTCTTTTGCAGGGTAAACTTTTTGACTCTACAGTAACTGATGAAGGAACGTGGACCTTAGGTAATAATCTACATCTGAAGTGACATTATAAAGACAGTAAAACTTTCCAGGAGACACTGCAGAATAATTTACCCTTTCTTTATTAATGGGAAAGATTACTTTCTTCCCTTAGCTTTGTAAAAAGGCAAAGTCATTATTGCTGGATTAAGGAACTGAGGTACTACAAAAGCACTTGAGACTAAGGTTAATGAGAAAATACCACATCCTGGAAGCTCCTAATCAATGGGTTGCAAACATTTCCATATAGTGAAAAGTTTTTTGCATTACCTTCTTTTAAAGGTAAACACTTATGGTACAGCTGTGTGGTCTATGACTCTCCATAATTAGTACTTTTTATACATTCCATTTTTTTGAATGAATGACAAAATTTACAGTCCAAGAGAATCAGAAAGAAATTCTAAAATTGCACTAAGGTTCCTACATATATTGAGGAAAAAAGCACATCAGGCCATGATATCATAAATACTGTAAAACATTCAGAATATTTTGGGGTTTGGCAATCATATTTGTGGATTGTGCCTCTCAGTGTTTTCTTATGAAGGGTTTTCTTTTCTATTCAATATTTATATTTTTATTGATAACAGTAATTTAAGCATTAAAAATTAAAGTGTTAACACACATTGTGAAGCCCAGTCTTTATGAGTATGCAAATAATCTTCAAAATACACTTCTAATGCTGTATTTATTCACTTCAGTAGAAACAAACTGCACATTTACTTTGAAACATGCTTCCAGTATATTCTCTGTGGCCATACACACTCTTTAAATAATTCTCTGTTTATATGTTGCTAAAACTTAGTTCTGGCTTTTATTGATAATAACTCTGTAAAGCCTGACCTTAAATTTTTCATTATTGCTTTAGCAGAGTTGTCTATATTAATAGATTGAATCTTTGTTGTGAACATGTCCAAGAGGTTACTTTATGTTTGCAATAGAAGTACTTATGAACTGTGTTTGTTCCCTTAAAACAGCTTCAGCATCTTACAAGCCAGAAGGGGAGAGATGACAGTACAGGCTATCTTTGCCTCAGCCTTTTTTTCCTTGTCAATGTTCATGTATTTATCAAGAACTAGGTTGGCATTGGCACTAAGAATTTAAATTACTTCACTTCTTTTGCTTGTTAATGGTGAATTCACCAAACCAAGAAAAGAACCAGCACTTAGGACTGAGTTTAAAGGTTGCTCTATGTGTTTTCATTCAACAGAAGACAGGCAGCTGATACGAATTGTTCTAATGAAGACAAATAGGGATGCTGGAAATTGTTGGACATCTCTGTTAGAAAATGAATATGCTGCTGATCCTTGGGTACAGGACCAGATGCAAAGGAAACTTACACTGGAGAGATTCCAAAGAGAAGTAAGTTAAAGCACATAATTACTCCTTATATGTTTTGTTGGCACACAGAAATTATGGCCAGGAAAGTTGAGCAAATGCTATGGAATATATGCTTTAGTTCAATATCTATAAAATGCTTACAAGGTTTTATCACTGTGCTTTGAAGACATTTTTCTGTCTGCACTCTGACTGCAGGGTTTGTCATAAGTTCAGGTGAGTTTAGAGGTCCTATTGCTGTTTTAGTAATTGCATCTTCCTAACAACTTTTCACTTGTTAGGCTACACACAACTTCTGTTATTATCTGGAATTATGACATAGCCATATTTACAATAACATTTGAACATCAAACTCTACTGGATGTGCTTGTTTATAAATGTCAGATGGAGCGCAGTAGTTAGCTGGAAAAGATGTTCCTTGCACTTCTACTAAAATTGCCTAAATTGTTTTGCTATACCTTTGGCACACAACTGTACACGTCTGCAGAGGTGTAAAATTACATTTTACGTACCAGCTGAATCAGCAGGCTATGTACTGCAGCAGAGAACAGCAGATTTATGAACCTTGTTATCCGTCAGGGCACATACGTAGATTTTCAAAAGGCAGTTACAAAGGACACCAAAAGCCAGATCTTGTTCTTAAACTTTCCTTAATATTTCTTTTCTGGAAGATCTGACTATTGCTAAGTCAAGAACAGCATTACAAAGTCACTTCAGCAGTTGGCAGCCAAACTATGACAATTCAGATTTTGTTGATGCATGTTCCAAGAATTTCAGTGCTGTGATAAATGTATGATTGTTAAATGTTCTTGTTACAATGGCAGAATATTAACAAAAAGCAAGTTAAGATTTTTGTTTGTGGGTTGTCTGGGATTTTTTAAAGCATTTTATTCTAAATAATTTACTTACTAAACAATTTTTAATTTTACTTCAATCAGAACCCTGGGTTTGACTTCAGTGGGGCAGAAATTTCTGGAAACTACAGCAAAGGAGGACCAGACTTTTCTAGTCTTGAAAAGTGAACTTTTTATATGTGACCCTTTAGACAAATTACATGTTACAGTTAAGGACTGGAATCATGTAACTGTTGAAGACTTCAGTGATCTCTTCAATGGATTGTTGTCAAAAGTAATTACTTCAGTGAAGAGAAAGAAGATCTTTTCCAGCAGAATGAAGACAAACTGTTACCAGCTGATTTATAAGCTGTGATAACTTCATGATACTGAGGCACAAACTAAAGAGAAAGTTGTACATAAAAAAAGTAATGTCTTTAAGCAGAATGTTTGGTTTGGGTGTGTCTTTTTTCTTTTTAGAAGCACCATAGTAAATGAATCAGTTATAAATCTACCATGTGTCTTAATGCAAGGATATCTTCTTATTCTTGCTTATCCACACTTAGGAAGGAATCTCCCCATGCACCAGGCTGGGGCTGATCTGCTAGAGAGCAGCTCTGTGGAGAAGGACCTTGGGGTCCTGGTGGACAATGAGCTGTCCCTGAGCCAGCAGTGCCCTGGGGGACAAGAAGGCCAGTTATATCCTGGGATTAATCAGGAAGAACATTGCCAGAAGGTCAGGGAGGTGATCCTGCCCCTCTGCTCAGCCCGGATCTGGAGTGCTGTGTCCAGTTGGACTGCTCAAGACAGGAGGGACATGGAGCTCCTGGAGCAAGTCCAGCAGAGGCTGTGGAAGGGATTGAAGGACAGTCCTACAAGGAAAGGCTTTGGGAGCTGGGGCTGTTCAGCCTCCAGAGGAGATACAGCCGAGAGGGGACCTCATCCCTGTCTGCAGGGAGGGCTCACAGCAGGGATCAGGCCCTGCTCCATGGTGCCCAGCAACACAAGAGGCAATGGGTAGAAACCAACCAACCTTTGTTAAGACCAACCTTTGTTCTCTATTGGATGCAGGAGGGAACTCGGTACCCAGAGATGAGGAGGAGGAAGTGCTTAACACCTTCTTTGCTGCACTCTTTAGTGGGAAGATGCCTTGTCCTCAGGACAACTGTCCTCCTGGGTTGGTAGATGGTGTCAGGGAGCAAAATAGTCCCCGTTACCCAGGAGGAGGCAGTCAGAGAGGAGGAGGATCCTGGTACTTACAGGCCAGTTAGCCTGACCTCAGTAGCCAGTAAGGTCATGGAACAGTTCATACTGAGTGTCATCACACAGCACTTATTGGATGGCCAGGGTATCAGACCCAGTCAGGGTTTAGGAGGGGTAGGTTGTGTTGAACCAACCTGATCTCCTTTTATGACCAGGTGACCCTCCTGGTGGATGCAGGAAAGGCTGTGGATGTTGTGTACCCGGACTTCAGCAAGGCCTTTGACACTGTATCCCACAGCACAAAAAGCTGCAGCCCAGGGCTGGGACAGGAGCACTCTGTGCTGGGTTCAGAACTGGCTGGATGGCTGGCCCAGAGAGGGGGGGTGAACAGTGCTGCATCCAGCTGGCAGCCGGGCACAGGGGTGTCCCTCAGGGCTCTGTGCTGGGGCCAGCTCTGTTCAATATCTTCACTGATGACATGGATGACAGGATTGAGTCTTTCATTAGTAAATCTGCAGACACTAAGGTGGGAGCATGTGATCTGTTGGAAGGTAGGATGGCTCTGCAGAGAGACCTGGAATGGTTGGATGGGTGGGCAGAGTCTAACAGGATGAAGTTTAATAATAATGCTGAGTCCTGCATTTTGGCCACAATAACCCCCTGCAACATTATAGGCTGGGGACAGTGACTGGACAGTGCCCAGGCACAAAGGGACCTGGGGGTGCTGGTCAACTGCTGACTGAACATGAGCCAGCAGTGTGCCCTGGTGGCCAAGAGGGCCAAGGGCTCCTGACCTGGATCAGGAACAGTGTGGCCAGCAGGAGCAGGGAGGTCATTCTCCCCCTATACTTGGCACTGGTGAGGTCACACCTTGAGTGCTGTGTCCAGTTCCAGGCCCTCAGTTTAGGAAGGATGTTGAGGGGCTCAAGCACATCCAGAGGAGCCAGTAAGGTGGGTGAGGGGAACACAAACTCTGAGAGGAACAACTGAGGGAGCTGTGCCCTATTTAGCCTGGAGAAAAGGAGACTCAGAGGTGACCTTATCCCTCCCTACAACTTCCTGATAGGTAGTCAGGTGGGGGTTGGTCTCTTTTTCCAGGAAGCAACTGACAGAACGAGAGAACATGGTCTTAAGCTGTACCAAAGGAAATATAGGTTGGATATTAGGAAAAAGGTATTTATGGAAAGAGTGATGAAGTACTGAAATGGCCGGCCCAGGGAGGTGGTGGAGTCACCATCCTTGGATGTGTTTTAAAAAAGACTGGATGTGACACTCAATGTTTAGTTGAGGTGTGAGGGCATGGGTTGGACTCAATGATCTTGAAGGTCTCTTCCAACCTAGTGATTCTGTGATGCCCACGAAGTTCCACCTGGACATGAGGAACAAATTCTTTCCTGTGCAGCAACTGTGCACAGAACAGGTTTCCCTGAGATGGTATGGAGTTAATCAAGAAATGTCTGGATGAAATCCAGTGTCATGTGCTCTTGAATGACCCTGCTCGAGCAAAGAGGTGGGACCAGCTGATCCCACCTATGGTCACTTCCAACCTGACCCACTCTGTGATTCACTGCTGAAGAACAGATTCTGTAAGATATTTACCATTTTCTCATGTGGTTCCTCCCACACAGCCTCAACCTCTTATAAAAATTGCAGGGGAAAAATCTGCATTATGTCTTACCTCCTGCCTGAAAATTTTTCTCCAGGTACTATTCAGGTATAAGTCACATTTATAGGCTTCCTACTAGTATGTTTCAAAACATACATTACAGGAAAAAAGCTACTTAGTTAAGCACATTTCAATGTTTAATTTAAAGGTACATATCTTGAGACAGGACAATTATAATTGCACACTGCATCCCCTCCCAGTAGGCTGACCACACCTTTGAGTAGCTTTGCACAGGTCAGCACAATGCCCAGGCAGCACTGACAGGTGTGATAGCCAGTTACATGTTTTGCAGTGCAATCACTCCCATGAGCTCATGAGATTTGATTTGTCCAGTAGAGAGCTTTGGTATGGAGTCTTCTTTGAAAGCTATAACTAGTTTGAGATATGCAAAGAATGGTTTCTAACTCAGCTGGTACCATTACAGGGAAGGGTTGGCTGGCCAACATCTCATCCCACACTCTGATCTCTCTTTCTCCACTCCATCAGTCCATGTAACAATCAGGTTTAACAGCCTGTTGCCAACAGCCTCTGTCCCACAGTGATTTTCTCCACTCCATCAGTCCATGTAACAATCAGGTTTAACAGCCTCTGTCCCACAGTGACGCAGAATTCAAGAGGACATTAGCAACACTCTCCCAGAACCTCTTTTCATCTAACATACAGTAATACATTCTTATTATTCACTTCCTTGGTAGCACTAGAACGCCTCAAATATTGACCTGGTCTTCAGAACAAACAGCTGTGTTTTACAAAGCTTACCATTAAAGAGATCAGAGTTGAAGCAATCTTCAATGTTTCTCATCTGGATTACTCCTACACAGAGGCCACGGGGGTGGGGTGGGGGGGGAACTAGCCCTGCTCCTACTGTACCTGTAACAATGTGCCTGTTCAGTATCAGCATTTACCTCTAGTACAGCAAACCTTTGGAAAACTAATGTCAGATTTAGGGCATGAAAGGGTTACATGTGACCCAGTTCATTCCCTTAGTCTTTCATTAGGTATCACCAAGTTTTTACACTCAGTGAGAGTGGCATCAGCAAACTAACAGCTCTTACAAAATACTGCAGTTACTGATGCTGTGCTAGAGACTGTCTTTCCTAAAGGAACACAGTAAAGTTGCTCTTTTCTCCTGCTCTACCTACTCGACATGTTCAGTGGGTATCACAGGCTGCTGTTTAATGTGTCTGTGGTAGGAGGCCAGTGCCCATCCTGGCAGGAACACATGGACACAAGGTACTGCCCAAACAGCACACCAGGTGAGTTGGCAGGCATTTGCTGTCATCAATATTGAGTTGGATTAGTCTTTCTTTTCTTAACACACTGCAGCACTGCACTACTACACATCAGATTTTCCTGGTATTGCATAATCCTCAGAAAGAGAACCAGGTTTTAAAAATTAATACCAAATTCAGCACCTGCAGTTACTGTAAACCAAGGTTAGATTATACAAGCTGCTCTACAAACTCTAAGGTGTTAAAATTCCTTGTATTGGGATTGTGTTATTCCACTGACTAGTGAACAGTCTACCAAGTAAGACTGAAAACTGACACCACGTACTTTTGAATTCGTCATGAAAAGAACTGGTATGTGCTGGAAGGATCTTTAGTCTGACATGTTACATGTTCTTTCCATGAGTTGAGCTCTTCATTATTAAGATCATGGTTCAGACTGTTTCTCAAATATCTGTGTGCCTGTTGACAAGGTCACAGGATGGTCTTCCCATTTTATTGCACTCCTGTAAAAAACCCAAACAAACAGTCAACTCAAGTGCTTTCTACAAGAGCCAAACACAGCATGAGATCTTAATACAGCAAGACAACAGCAAGATGGCTGTTACAGAAAAAGGTGTAGCATCTGGAAGTAAAATATAGGTAAGGAAGTTTATCATTTTTACAGAGTAAAACAACAGTAACAGGAATAACTGAATTACAGATTTTAGCCTTCACTAAGTAGTTATACAAGTAGAACTGTATAAAACTGTCTGTTGTAAGTGGCACAATTGTTGTAAGTAAACAATTACAAGAAACTCATTCTAACAGGCTGGTTTTCTTTTTGGGATAGGAGCAAAGCAAAGGTATTTTTCCCCTTTTCCACGCTTTACTTCACATTTTAGTGTGAATGTGGTCCCAATGTCTGCAGAACATTTCTGGTACCATGACACACATCAGCTCTTCCTTCAGTGTTCATGCATTAATCAGGTTGTCACTTCCTTAGGTCCAGCACTGGTTTAAGCATGAACACGGGAACAGGCTGACTACGCTTCTGTTACATGATGCCAGGAGGTAACCTGTAAGGACCCTGGAGGTAGTTAACAGCTAATTTTACTTCTACATGATCAGACCTTGATTTTACAAAGACTTACCTATTATGAGGTGGTCTCTGGAATGGTAGGAAGGTGTGTTATTCTGTAGTAGCTATGTTTAAGCTGCCGAGCTGTACGTCCAGACACAATCCATTTTAATTTCTGCACATTTGGTTTGGAACACTTGCTTGAGGAATATTCCGTAAGGCACTTCAACACTAGCTCCTTCCAGAAGGTCAATTCTCTGTTGCTTATCTACATAACAAGACATAATGT